TGGCAAGGATTGAATAAAAATGTCAAGGGTTCAGACTTCGTGAATTTTGGCATCGCTTTGTCTCCTTTAGGAAATTCCATGGGAAAAAGACAGTTCCAACCCCTGCTCAGTTCTTCAGGTTCAGAGGGAAGCACTGGCCTGGGGATCCAGGCCTCAGCCAAGGGTAGGGGCTGTACTGCCTGCGGGGTGACAGGTTGGCTCCGCCCTCGGTGCTCCAGCTCCTCCTCCACACACCTTCCCCACCCCCAACACCACAGTGGTGCCTGAGGATGGGCGGGGGGAGTGGGGGGAAAGGGGACTGGCTGATGAGGCCAATTATCTGGTTCAGCTGCCCTCAGGGCCCCTGCCTGCCAGCATGGCTGAGAGGTAGTGACTCTTTTTCCTCAGGCCCTGGGTGTTCCTCTTGGGCAGTGATTGTCAGTGATTTTTGTCAACAAGTAAGTGACACAGGAAATACTTTACAACTTCATAGCACTTATAGTCAGGTATTGGGTGTTAGTTATATCATCTTTGCTTAATGATGGCATTTGTCAGACTGTTCTCAATCCTGGTGTATAGTCTCAAAATACCCACACCCGTCTCTGTGTGAGCAGAGGTGAGATTTAGCTATGGATGAGGGTGTCTGAATGAAATGGATGACTTTCAGATGTTAGCTTTAAAAGCTGAAGTTTGGTTCCCACCAGATGAGCATTTTTAGAAACCCGCATGTCGGACCTTTATGAGTCTTGGAAGAGTGAACCTTGGATCCATTTTCTGCCGGGAATGTGTTTTTAGACGTAAGGTGTCGAGCATCTTCAGGTCTATGTGGCCTGTGGCTCTACACCAGGAGGGCTGAGTCCAGGTGTGCTTATTTATAACTGTGAGCGGCCTGCACTGAAATGCTTGTCCTCCCACAGGAATCCCCCGGCCTCTCTGTTCAGGGTGAGGGTGACCTGAGCGTGCTGCCTCTGCGTTTCTCATTCACATGGGATCCTTTCAGGCCAGAGGGTTAAGATAGGTCTTGAATTGTACTTTTTGCCTTTTGCCTGCTCTGCCCCCTCTGTTGCTGTCCACAGCCACAGCACCCTGCGAGGAGCCCAGCATGGTTCAGCCCCTGTGGCTCCCTGGGCAGGCCTCTTCTTCGTCCAGCCCTGAGGCTGCCTGCTCAGTTGAAGGTTTTTTTGAAATGAGGGTGTAGCTGCCGGAGACCTTGCAGCGTAGCTTGCAGAACGGGGGCAGGACGGCTGACTGGTCTCACCTGTGCTGGTCGGGCCTCCTCCTCTCTCCCCATGCCCAGGATGGCCTGTCAGGAGCCAGGCAGTGGCAGGTGGAGAGGGGCCTGGAAGGTGGGCCATGGGACCTAGTGCTTAGACAGCTCTTCTGCACCCTCGCCTTTTAATCAAGGGCTTATCCCAAATTGCTCTTCTGTGCTGACAAACAAAGAAACACCCACACAAATTCTTGAGCGTTTTTGTGAAATTTACTGAAAAGAGCTCTGCAGCCTTAACGGAGCTCTGCAGCTTCCTCCTAGCCAGCATTTCTTGGAAAACCAGTGATCCGGGGCTCCCAGGAGCGGGCAGCAGTTGTGTGATATGGCAGGGGAAAGGGCTGAGGTTAAACCACATTTAGTATTATAGGCTGATCTTTTTTCAAAAACTTTTGCCTTGGGTGTTTTCCTCGCTTTTGGGGGGTTGGCATCCTTTTAATCATTATCCTACTGCTTATCTCTCCAAAGCACTGTATGTATATAGCTATCATAAGCAAAAGTATATTGAAATTGTTTTTAATACTACATGATGCTGAACTATGGGACCATGTGGATATGAATTGTACATATGTGAGTTTGATAATGATTTATAACTTTTTAAAATCGGGGAGAAAGAATTTTATGATACCCTGGATAATAATACCAAAGCCCCTGTCGCAGCTCTGCTGATCAGTTCAGTGTCATTTCTGCTTTCTTTCCCTCTGGACACTGCCTTGGCTGACCCACTCTGGAAAGGCCCCACTTGGTTTCTAATAAACGGCATGAGGAAGTGTTGAGGCTGTAAATCCCCTTGTGCTCTAAAACTGTGTTCATCACTGAAATGAGAACAATCTGCTTCCCCAGCAGCCTAACTCACTTCTCTCCATATGCCCAGCGTGGTCTCCAGATTTCAGAGAATAATTGAACGTTCATGACACTTGAGTGGTTTCTGGAAACAGGTCTGTGGGTATCGAGAGAAGAGAATAAAGATTCACCACCCCCACGTCACCCCCGAATGCTTTCCTATATCCAGAACAGCCCACCCCAACTACTGACACCAAAGTACATTTAGCCAATTGGCTGCTGTCAGTGGATAATACCTACTCAGCATTTGGGACAAGTTCCAGCATGTAACTTCCACTTGGTGAGCGAACTTGACAGGAGAGGGAATTGAGCTTAATTTATATCATCTAATAACCTCAGTGCAGCAACTTGGGAAGTTAGCCTTCCAAAATTTCCCCCAGACTTTTCCCCAGTGAATTACAATGCCATATATTGTAATTTTTACCAGCTCTGCTCCCAGCTGAACTGGTAAAAATTTACCTGTTCAGTGATTTTCACCTTTCAAAAATCAAAGGCAAGTGTCAAGCGAGGTGTGTCTGACAGAGGTACACAGAACTTGAGTAGAGAAATAAGGTGTTTTTGGCTGAATGGAGAATCCTTGGGTGGGTAGAGAGAACATCCAGGAGTTCTTGTGGTTGTCGTGCCCTGTTTCCTTTTCCAGACAGAACCTGGGGCTCTCAAGTTCACCCACCGAGTAGGTGGTCCCCAGGAGTTGGTGGAAGGCAAGCTAAAGCAGAGCTGTCAGGGGCGTAGTGAGGGCAAGATTGGAGCCTCTTCCCTCCATCCCAGTCTACCTTTGACTACTGAGGTGTTAGACTGAGCCAGGGCTGAGTTAATTTCAGGGGTAATCCATTTCCTGCTACTTTTATTCAGCCAGCACCATTCATCAGGAGAGGAGAGCCCTTGGGACCCTCTTCTGCATCATCCCAATATCTTGAAGGAAGGGAAGCAGGGATCTTCCCACCCCTAATTATAGATGCTGAAGGTATAGAAATATGTCAGGACTTGGCGACAGAAATGCCTCCACATGCTTTCTGCTGCCACACAGCTGGTACCCCTACCCCAAACCCCGACCTGACAGCAGGTTCTCCCCGACCAGGTGGGCTTTGCTCCAAGAAGATGTTTGTGCTTGTTAGATGCAAGATGCATATTGAGGCCATCCACGCTTCTGCTGTGAAATCCTTTAGGAGAAAGACAACTGGTATCCAGTATCTTCAAGTAATGAATTTATCAGTAAATATAACATATACTACTAGCTCATTAATCTTCACTTTGCTTTTGAGCCAAGTGGGAGCTCAGCTTCTCAGTAGACAAAAATTTCATCTCTGTTTCTCTCCTTAAACCTAGTCCTAATTTAGAGTCAAACATATTGCCCTGCTCTCCCTGGGAAGCAGTTAGTGACGTGGTTTTCTTTTTTTGTTTTTTTGTTTTTTTTTCTGTACAGTGGATGGTCCAGGGTCGGCCTGGTCGCTCAGGCCTCCATGGGCACCTGTCCGTACTCAGCATGAGCTAAAGGCATCAGAGCAGGGCTGTGAGTGTCAGTTGAGGAATATTCTCTGGGTAAAGTTGATCTTAAAAGTTAGGGCTTTTGAAATCGTTGTCCATCATGGCCAGTCTTTGCTTCAACTTCTGATATCCTTCTAAAATCACTGCCTCCACCCCTCTTCTCTGAAAAAAATTAAGGATGGGGAGGGGGACGAATCACAGTTTGCAAGTGGTGGCTGTCCATTCACTCTGGCTGCTGGGGTCTGGGCTTAAAAGAAAGAAATCTCTGAGAAGGGATGATGTTTGCTTGGAGAATAAGTGAGGAGAGCATTGGCCGGGGGGCACTGCTCTGGGATGCCTGCCCCAAGTGCGCAGGGAGAGGTGGTTTAGGAAAGGATTCCAGCTCACTGCAGGTCAGTCCTGTGGACCTGGTCTAGGCCCGTGGGACCTGGAGGTATGACCAGATGCATCTGTTGGGATGAGGTGATGGGGAGGAGCCAGCCGAGATCTCACGCCCCCTCCCCTGAAAGAAAGGGCCAGACAGACCCAGGGAACATCGGGTGACTGTCGCTGGCACACATCCACACCCGCATCAGCACTCCTAGAATTTGACCAGAAGGGGAGAATGGGCCACATCCTGACACAGCTGTGTTCCCTTTGTCCTCTGAGCCTCTCTGCTGACACCCTGAGGGCCTCCTCTCATTGTTTCCTACCAGAGGGGTTACATCTGTGCCTCTACCTGCTCTGCCGGCCTCTCCTCAACTCTTTGTTCTCCAGCGTTGTGCTCCCAGGAGGCCCGAGTGTGTGGGCCTCACCTCCTGCCCACCAGGTGGGGTTGGAAGCATCAGGCTCCACTAAGATGCCAGTCGGAGCTCGACATTTCTGTTCTTTCCTCTCTTTAAATGTGCTTGAAGTAACCCATTTTCCTCTGAGAGCCCCCATTCATGTGTGAGCTTTGGTTTGATCACACCCACGGTCCCCATAATCATTTCTGCCCCACCCCCCGCCCTGGTCTCCTAGAAGCAGTGCGTGTCTTGTGGTAGATACTGAGGTTTGTCCAGGCCAGGGAAGCGCTGAGCTGCCAGCTCTGGGCTCTCCCGCCTGTGTGGGGCTGGGAGGGAAGGGGCTCAAGAGCCCACTCATTTCTGAGGCAGGCGCTGCTGAGTCACCTTGGGGTTCCACCCTCAGGGTCCAGGCAGGAACAGCATTGAAGGCACATGTGCCCCTTGGACGTTCTGAGGACGTCGTTGGACTTGCGTGAAAGTGCTGGCTGTCTTGTTAGAGGGGGGATGTTGTAATAGGCTCTTCAGCAGCCGGAGCCCCTGCTGCAACCATCGTCCACTCACTGGACGGCCCTCCCGCTCTCTGGACCTGAGGGAGAGCTGGGCTCTGTGCACGTGGAGGCCACCCTAATGGTCTGTCTTCTCTGCTTCCCCCACTGCTGCAGGTTACGTGTTCTGTATGTTGCATCGCCTCCCTGAGCAGCATGACTGTACGTTTGACCACATGGGCCGTGGCCGAGAGGAAGCCATCATGAAAATGGTGAAACTGGACCGGAAAGTGGGGCGCTCTTGCCAGCGCATTGGGGAAGGGTGCTCCTGAAGGCCGGCTTGGCCGCTACGTGACGCTGTTCTTAGTTCACTAATGTTAGCCTTATTTAGGACAGAGTCAGCCAGACACCTTGTACTGGGCACGCGTCAGACTACAGCCAGTCCGTTTCCTTTCCTTAGCCAGCCATCCTGGTACTGTAGTTTAGGGGTTGATGGTGGTTGAAATTGATTTCTGGCTGGTTACTAAGGTGCCTGCTAGCCATTGTATAAAATTAAAACATGAAGAATATTTTATTTTGAGCATGGCTAGTGGATTTAAAACAACACATACCTGTCACTGCTGGAGTCAAACTTACAAAAAGCCTTAAGTGGAAAGTGTTCCAGACGGAGACTCTGAGTCAACAGAGGAGGAGAAGCTGGTGTCAAGTCCCCACGACGCACATGGCTTTGCCGGAAGCTCTGGTTAGTGTTCGGCCTTCACCTCTTCACTGTCCTTAGTCCCAGTAGCCAGGATACCTGATGGCCACGCGTGCCCGGGCCATGGGAGGCTGTTGAGATTGGCCCCGTGGCTGGGCTGGGTGGTGGCCTCGCTCTCCCACTGAGCAGGAAATGGGGGTAGGGACAGGTTAAGAAAATTTACCTGACTTGCTATGAAAAAACTCTCTCATCAAACGAGAAGAGAAACAGTAACCTCACTTTGAAAATCAGCTCCACTCAAGCCTAGTCCACGAATGAGAACCACCTTTTCTACACAGGACCCTTGGTCATGAGAAGCGACCGTGGGCGCGCCCTGACCCACTGGCTCTGGTTTGCCGTTTGCCGAGTGCAGGGATCTGGCAGTTGATCAAATAAGGCTAATTGCAGCACCGCAACTGTGGCCTACAAACTGGCCTCTGCAGCTAGATTTCTATATTGGAAGTTTTTAAAAAAGATGTTTCATAGCCAGCAGGAA